GTGTCCAGCACCTGAACCACCACGCCACCTGCTGGTCCCTCTCTCTTTTTTTTTTTAAGTGGATAGAAAAGATTTACTCACTTTCAAAGGAGGAAAGGGGCAAATGCAGAGAGCTGCATTAGTCTGCAAGTATCTTTAAAGAAACTACATCTGGAATTACAAACAGTAAAATGAAGGTATACTCAGAATGAATCTGTTGATTCATTCTCAAAAGAACGGGCCTCGTCCCTACATCAACAGGTTAGCAAAAGAAAAAATGTGGGACCAGCAGGTGGCATAGTGGTTAGGGCTCTGGACTCCCATTTGGCCAAGCACAGTTTGAGTCACGGACCCAGTGGCTTGACATACATTGGGCATGTGTATATGTGTGCCCAAAATCCTGAGAGGACAATGGAGGATAAGGGATTGCGGCATGGCCAGCTCCTGGGGGGTGATTTCTCACTTTCTCTTTCTCTGCCTCTGTCAAGCACACATGCCCTATAGCAAAAAATCTCTCTCCCAAAAAAAAAAAAAAAAAAAAAAAAGAAAGAAAGAAAAAGAAAAAGAAAAGAAATGTTTACCTGCTTTAAATCCAAATGAAACTGATTAATGAATATGTAGGGGTTTTTAGTACATATCGAGTCAGAAAAGAGCTACAACTGCACATAAGCTCATTTGATCTCATTACAGCCAGCTCATGAGCATATAATGTGGCAGGTGTTTTAACTCCAGTTTTTGGATGAAAACTGAGGCTCAGAATTCATCAACTAGGGGGACCAGCAGTTAGCATAATGACTATGTCGCTAGACTCCCACATAGTCAACCGGGGTTCGAGTCCCGGACCCAGTGGCTTAAACTCACGCTGAGTGCATGTGCGTGCATGCCCAGAATCCCGAGAGGAGATTGGAGGAGAAGAGATTGCGGCGTGGCCATCCCCCCTGGGGAGTGATTTCTCACTTTCTGTCTCTCTCTGTCTGTCTGGTGAGCGCACGCGCCCTATAGCATAAACCTCTCCAAAAAAAGAAAAAAAAAAAAGAATTCATCAACTAGGGGACAGCAAAGTAAAGACTAGGACCACAAGCCCTCCAATCCAGGTTGCTTTCCCAAGGATGACTAACCAAATGCCAGATAGAATTGGAAAAAAGAGCAAGGCCAGTGGGTCGTATGGGGGCTAAGATGCTGGACTCCCACATGCCAACCTCAGAGTTCCAGACCTGGGGGCTTGCTTTCTCACTTTCAGTCTCTCTCTCTCCCTGTGTCTCTCTCTGGTCAAATTAAAAAATAATAATAATAATTTTTTTAAATAAAAATGAAAACAAAACAAAAAGAGTAAGGGAGGCATTTCAGCAAAGCTAATTATGAGAAACCAGTATCTTTTTACATAGATGCCAATTTAGGAAGTGTTCAGCTGTTATCTCATTAATCCATCTAAGAGTTTGGAAAATCATTTATTACCTATGCAGGATGAAGAACTTTATAACAAGATTATTAGAAGCTAAAATATTTTTTTTTAAAAATTGTGACACTGCCGACACTGCCACCCCAATCAACAGAACTCTTGCATTCTCTCCTGTCTCCTGCCCACAGTATGGCCATGTACACCACCACTATCAACACTGTAACCAATCCTTAGTGATGATTTTACATTGTTTCTATCATAATCCCCCCAGGTCTGCCCCAACACTGTACAATGTTTCATGGATGCTTAAAATTCTATTAGGCTAAATATACTTCATTCAACTCAACCGACCCCTACTACTGAGCATGTATATTGATTCCTCTAAAAATTTGTTTTCCCATTCCTATAAAGACATTATAATACATGTGTCCATGCCCACTTAAGGCTTAAAAGCACAGACATGAGCTGAGCGACATGGTTCTGTGCCCCGGACACCCCTCAGCCCCCATTCCTTTTCAACTTAGCACACCCTCCTGCAATGTGCTTTGCAGAAGAGTTACTCACATTCAGTGCATGGATGGGTTTGGTGACATTGAACTTGTCCATGGTGGAGAGAATGATGGAGGGAGTGGTCAGGAAAAACAGTCCCACGAAGAGGGTGAAATTGATGCCCAGACACTGAAGCCACCAGCGGAGGCCCTGGATAGAAAGGTTCTTCCTGCAGGGGGAACACGGGACCAGAAGTTTATCTCTCCATGCCATGGCTTGAGTGAGTCAGAAGATCAGATCTTTAGGTAGGCCAAGAGACCATCCCACGGCTCTGGCTGAGGGCTCCTTTGGACGTCTAGAGTTAAGGCAAGTTCTCTGCTCTGATCTACAGGAAGCTACAGGAAGGCTGAATCTTAAGTATCTGAGTTCAGAAGGAAAACTGCTGCCCCGACATTCCTGGCTAGACTCTGGATGCCAAGATCTACCCAAAGAGATGGCATGAGTACCCACGCAGGCCCAACAAGGCTCCCACATGGCATTTCTAAGACACATCTGTGATGCTGTGTAACCAGCGACCCAGTCTTCTCAATGGGGCCATGGCTGGGATGCAAGGAGGATGGAAGTGGGGACAAAAGAACAAAAGTATGGGGGCAGCAGATGGTATAGTGGTTACATCACTGGACTCCCACAGGGCCAAATGCAGTTCAAGTCCAGGGCCTGGGGACCAGGTCTGCACACAAATAACACCATAATTAGTGTGAATCGACAACCCTCGGAATGGGAGAGAATTTTTGTTAACTGTGCCTCAGATAAGGGACTGATAACCAGAATACACAAGGAACTCAAGTGGCTTACCTAAAAGAAAAAGATGAACCCAATTAAAAGAAAATGAACTGAATAAACAACTCTCTAAGGAAGACATATGAACAGCCAAAAAGCATATGAAGAAATGCTCTCGACATTCCTCATCATAAGGGAGATGCAGATCAAAACTACAATGAGATAACATCTAACCCCAGTCAGAATGGCAAAGATTAACAAAACCAAAAACTGATAAATGCTGGAGAGGGTGTGGTGAAAAAGGAACACTCCTACACTGTTGGTCGGAATGTAAATTGGTCCAGTCACTATGGAGAACAATATGGAGGTTCCTCAAAGACCTTCAAATAGAACTATTATATGATCCAGCAATTCCACTCCTGAGTATCTACCCAAAGGGTAGAACACTCAGTTGGAAAAGTGCTTGTACATCTCTTTATTGCAGCATTATTCACAATTGCTAAGACATGGAATGAACTCAGATGTCCACGAACAGAAGAATGGATTGAAAAGTGTGGCACATATACACTATTAGCCATAGAAAACAACAAGACCCTGGCATTTTGATAGAAAGTGGACACATATGGAAGATTAACTGTTGAGTTAAGCAAGTCAGACTATGAAGGAGAGACTTTGTATGTCTCCACTTAATATATACTGACTGTCCACACT